GACGCAGTTGGTCGGCGGCGGAGGCTCGGGTGTTGTGCTGAAGGACGGTACGCTTGTGTTCCCCATGCAGGGAATCAAAACTAGGTGAAAAGAGCGTCTTGCTCGCCTTGCGCTTCACGCCATCGAAGAAGAAGTGGGAGCTTTCATCCGGTACGACCGGTGAGGGCTGCAGAGACCCGTCCATCGTGGAGTGGGGGGGCGAAGAGAGACTCCTCGCGATGGCTCCCTGTGAGGGAGGGTCCTACGAAGTCTATCCGTCCTCCGGGGCCGGTGCAGCTTGGTACCCGAGAGGCGAGCCAATTACGCGCGTGTGGGGCACCTCGCTGAACCGTCAAGGAGGGGACGGCGTGCAGAGCGGCCTCATCACGGCGGAAATCGAGAATAAAAAGGTGATGCTCCTCACCACGCCGGTGTACTCAGGGGACACAGGCAAAGAAAAAGGGGAACTGCATCTTTGGCTGACCGACAGCGCCCGCGTGCACGATGTCGGGCCGGTGTCACGTGAAGCCGATGACGCCGCTGCCAGTTCCCTGCTGTACAAAGGCGGTGCGTCGGGTGAGCTGCTACTACTGTACGAGAAGAAGGAGAATGGAGACACTTACGGCCTCGTATCTCTGAGCCTGTCCACGCAGCTGGAGCAGATAAAGTCCGTGGTGCAGACCTGGAAGGACATGGACGCCGCCTTGGAGAAATGCAAACCCGGTGGCAGCGTTGACCCGCGTATAAATGGCGTGTGCAACGGCCCTGTTCCCACCAAAAGGACTGGTGGGACTTTTGTCCCACACACTGGCCGGGACTGAGTGGGCGGACGAGTACCGTGGCGTGAACGCAACGGTGAAGGGCGGGCAACTGACAAGCACGGCGGGGGGTGTGAAGTTCAGCGGCGCCGGCGCGGGGGCGGAGTGGCCTGTGGGGAAACTGGGGCAGAACCAGCCGTACCACTTTGCGAACAAGGATTTCACGCTTGTGGCGACGGTGACGATTCACGCGGTGCCGGTTGAGAAAGATGGCAGCTCTCTGCCTTTGCTGGGCGTGAGGATGAATGATTCCGATAGCACCGTGCTCTTTGGCCTGTCCTACACGCAGGACAAGAAGTGGAAAGTGACGGTCGGCGGTCAGAGCCGGAGTTTTACAAATGATGACCCGACGTGGGAACCAGGCACAGTCTACCAAGTGATCTTGCAGATGAATAATGGCAATGAGTTGTCTGTGCACGTTGACGGGGCCGAGATCTACGCGAGCGAAGATGATGACGAAGATGATGATGATGGCATCGCTTCTGAGGTGTCAGAGCTGTTAGAGCCGCACAGGATCTCGCACCTCTACGTTGGCGGGGACGGGGCGGAGGGCACGAAGACCAGCCACCACGTGACGGTCTCCAGCGTCCTGCTGTACAACTGCGCACTGGGTGAGAGTGAAATCACGCAGCTCAAAAACAGCAAAGTAACTCATCCACGGCCGGCTGCTGCGGGGCCAGGCGCAGGGCCGGCTGCTGCCTACCTCGAGCCCGGCGATGATGCGCAGGACATCGATAATGCTCCCGAGCAGGGGTCTGGGGAAATGGGCGTTGGCGGTATTCCAGCGGCTGGAGCCCTTCAATCTGTGGCCTCGGGGGCTACTGACGGCCAGGAGGCCGGTGGGAAGGCAGACGCCGCAAATCTCTCTTCTGTGGAGCCGGTGGTGGAGTCGTCGCCTTCCGCGCCCCCGTCCCCGGCAGAAGTAAAGGGACAAGAACCGGGCAGCAGCGACGAGGCGGTGGGGGCAGGCGGCGGGGCGCAGTCGCCGCAGCCACCGGAGGAGGCCAAACGTGAGGGCGGTGGTCACGGTGGTGGTGGCGCCGAACTGCCTCCTGGCGGCCGTGCCTCGCCCAGCGCGGCGGCGGGGGAGGAGGCTGGAGAAGAGGAAAGCCGCGAGGGTGCATCGGCGTCTTCGCCGGCGCCATCCGCATCGAGTGTGGACCCTCCTGCTGCACCGGGCGGCAGTCAGACGCATGCCGGTGAGCCTGCCACCGCCAGTGGGAGTCAAGCCGTTGACCCCGAAGAGAACAATGCCGCTTCAGGCGCAGCGGTGAGCTCAGGCGGCAGCCCTGCTTTGACCGACGACGCCGAACCGCCTGCCGCGAAGGAGGCACCCGGCGCTTCTTCGCCTGCCACCGCTGAAATGCCTCGTGGAGACAATGAGGAAATGTCGCAGGGCGTTGAGGACGCACCGGCTAATAAAAACACGCCACCCGCACCTCCGGCTGCCCCTTCGACGCGCGACGCGGCGCCGCCCTTAAGCAACACCTCCGCTGCCTTCAAGAACATGACAGAATTGAGGCTCAGCGAGGGAGCCAGCGACGGCGTTCTGCGTGGGTGTGTGCCTCGGCTGCTGCTGCTTGCCCTGCTGGGGCTGTGGGGCACGACGGCTCTCTGCTGAGTGCAAGAGGGAGAGTGGATTTGTAACTCCTCGTGGAGAGTGCGCGCTGCGACCCATGCGGGTCTCTTCATTTATATATCCTGTTTTTTGTTTTCCTTCTTTTTTCCATTCCTCTTCTTCTTTCCTATTTGGGCTTTGCTGGAACAACCAGCACCCCATGTTTTTCTTTTTTTTGTTTGCTTCTCTAATGGTCGCTTGCTATACGCACTGCTATGGGCGGCGCACACTCCTCCCCCTCTTCTTTGCTGCTGCCGCCCACTCACACACACGCACACGCAACCACGCGGTGCCGGCCG